TCCTAGCATTCCTAAAAGACAAAAAAAAACCAGCTGTGCACGTATGTTCTCAATAGAAAACTGTCTAATGAATGCATACAATAATTTATTGTACTATAGAAGAAAATCTATCGTTAATAAAACGCGACAATGTCATTTTTGATAAAAAGTGAAAAATACAGATTTGTCTTTGAACAAAACAAAAGACGATTTGTTTCGACACATAAAAGAGAAAATAAGACAATTAAGGTCATTCGCCTGTCTTTCATAGTATCTCATTTTCTCATATTATCTTTACCTGTCTCTTTTTTTTTTTGGTGTCTATTCACGAGACATAAACTAATTTAAATTTGTATGTGCATACTTTCTTATATAGTGATCATCACCATCACATCTGTTGTCTCATCTTTCGATCACGAATCGATTTCATCTGTCTCATTCTATTCTCTCTCGATATAAATCTATGTCAAACAGACGATTGTCGATGATGTTCAGTTGAGTAGTAAAGAATTCACACAAAAAAATGTATGATCGAGAGGACAATATAGAGTCTACTGCCATGCAATATATATGTATGCATACGGTTCACCGTTCTTTTTTTTTCTTCACTCTTTCTGTGTGAATATGTATGTGCACACAAGATGAATTTATTCAACAAGGGACAGAATAGTGCATCCTGACCGAGTTATATGCTTTTATTCTTTGTTGGCGTAGTAAATGATGATGGTGATGATGATGATGATGATGATGATGATAATGATGATCATGATGATGAAAGAATAACGGTAATGGTAGAGATTTAATAAAAAAAGAACACCACAGTTAGCCTGATGTAAAATCAACAAAAAAAAACTGCTGCACTGTTTACATTTACATTTTGTCGTCTCAAGAATGTATGAATAGAGAACCTTCGAAAAGCATCAATATTGATAAAGAAAAAGAAGGCAAGAGAAAAGAAAGACAGATTTGTATCAACACTAGTTATAGTAATAGATCTCATATGAATCAAGATTTACATATAAATAAATATCTCATCTGAACATTGCTATAGTCAATTCGGACCATCAGTGTCTCTTGTATATACTTGAGGGCGATTAATATCAAAACAAAAAGATATCATCGCTACAATATTTGGACGTGTTTATAGAAATTGATAGAACACTATTCAAGGATACTATTATTCTAGACAAAATAACAGTATAATGAATCAATGATATGTATGCGATAAGATTTCCGAAGATATAAAGAAAAATCTAGATAATGAAAAAAGGCAGATTCACTTCTTATCAATATTCTTCATTTCGTTACTGTCATTTAAATAAATATCGTTTTCATGCTATATTCTCATTCTCACTCATGCTTGTTCAACACTAACAACACAACAACTAGAAACAAAAAAAAGGTCACATACATCATAAGATTGCGTAAGCATACACGAGAGGGTGCTCGTTGATCAAGGCAATATTATTATTTCAACAAACGTTGTAGACTGAAATTGATTATCATTCGTTTGATTAGAATAAGAAGTCGACCAACACAACAACATATAAGCGATCAACCTCAAGCAACACATATCGAGCTGAACAAATTATTCTTCATATTTATCAGAAGGCGAGAATAATAGACAGAGAGAATTAGTGAGTGGTTGAATACTTCTGTATGAACAAGAAAATGTCATTGAGATTTCTATTGACTGAATATCGAATGGCATTCATATGTAAATATAAATGAAAATAAAATAGAAGAGAAAAAAAAAACGAATGATCATCTAGAACAAAAGTATTCATCAATAGATCAAAAAAAAAGTGATGATTATTTAATCATAATAAATCGATATGTACTTAGTTTGACATAGAATATATTTATTATGTCTTCATATATCAATCAAATGAAATTTTTTGCGAAAATCAATTTTTCTACAGATGCATACATTCAATTCCTGAAAAAAAAAGTTTCATATAAACTGAACAAAAGAAAAATTCGAATAAATTTTGATCAATTAAATTACATAAGTCAATTATGATTTTTTTTTTGTTAAATATATGCTTCCTTTTACAAGTGGATTATGGAAATTTGAAGTAAGAGAAAGAAAAACCTAATAAAATTTCATCTGACAGTGGCATTTGAATCAATTGAATTATATAAAAGAAAAAAACGTAGATGATTCATGTTGTCAGAAAGTCATGTAATTTTATTGGATGAAAATTGACGAATTATATCATTGCATTTCTAGAGTTTGTTTTTTAATTAATTACTAGCATGTTTGATTAATGTCGTATAAGAGAATTTTTGAATGGATGAAAATTTATTATTTAATAACGATAATTTCTTGCATAGGAGTTTATTTTTTATTCGTTACTTGTTACTAGGACACGTGATTTTATTAAGAGTTTACCAAATAACATGAAAGCGAGTTCTGTTATGAAGTACAGAACAGCTTTTTTCTTCCTAATCCTCTCGAGATATTGTAAAGTTCATTTACATTTTAGAAATAGACATAGTCATTATTTCTCTTTTGTCATGCAACATTCAAATTATATTTTGTTATTATAATCTGAAATGAATAGAAAACCATTACCATCCATACCTTCGATGAATTCAACACCAATGACTAATTTCAACCGGATGACATTATTGATGTCAGTCTCGGAAATAACACCGCAAATTTTTATAGCTGGTTTATTATTTTTATTTTTTCGAATAATTTTCATTTATCTAACATTATTTTCTAGGTCAAATGGCAGCAACTGCTGAACAAGTACAAAAATTAGGAATAACATATATTTTGGTAAAAGTGTTTTTTTTTACTTAGTTTCATTTTATTAATTTGTTATCTTTTTTTTTTATTTATTTGTAAAAAAAA